TCCGTGAAGCTCGGGTCGTTTCCCGGTTCACTACGTGCCATACCGACTTGGTCAGAAACACGCCACGCATGTAGCGGCTCCACGTCGCGTAGTTGTCACCGTTGACTTGTCGATGGTGACCTTGGTCGAGGCGTCATGGGCAGAGGACATGGTGCTTGGGCTCATAACCTGTTAACGGTGTAGAGGTGTTGGAATGAAGCTTGGGGCTGAACGGAGTGACTTCTGCACTTGGTGCGGAGACCGGAGTGAAGGCACTTGAGCGGAAGAAGGAAGATTCGAAAGTGATTGATTTATCGGGGCTTACACTGTCCTCACTACCTAGGTCATCCAATCATTCTACTCATCCAATCATTCTGTACTCGTCCAATCATTCTACTCGTCCAATCATGGGTGGCATAAACAACGTACCATAATCACAGCGGGATCGTATTGGACCGGTTCAGGTTGACCGGTTAATGGGTACAACTGGTACACAGTACCAAGACCAGCAACCCTCAATAAGAATGAAGACAATGATGATGATGACTCGACTCAGCCCATGTATTGGCGTGCGAGTGCGAATGCAGTGGAAACGAGTGACAGCGCCGAGCCGAAGACGTTCCAAGAGGCTGTGAGCGGCGAAGACCAAGTCCACTGGCGCAAGGCGATCCGAGCAGAGCTCAAGTCGATGCGACTTCGTGGAGTGTTTCGTGGCGCCAAGTTACCGAACAACCAGCGTGCGGTCGGAACCAAGTGGGTGTTCAAGATCAAGCGTAATGCCGACGGATCCATCGAGAAATACAAGGCTCGACTCGTCGCGAAAGGATTTGTGCAGAAGTACGGCATCGATTACACCGAGACGTTTTCGCCGGTGGTCAAGTACGTCACGCTACGAATGATCATTGCTGTGGCCAAGTTCTTCAACTGGCCCCTCGACCAACTTGATGTCGTCACGGCGTTCCTGTACGGCTTGATGAAGAAGAAGGTGTTCTGTAGTGCTCCAAAAGGCGTGGCACTTGATGACGGCTACGACTGCGTGGAACTGCTCAAGGCGTGAAGAAGGTGATGGTTGGATCTTGTGTCTTGCGAGGGGAGGACTGCCGAAGCTTGGGGCGAGGAGGCCGAGGCGAGGGAAGTCACTTGAGGGGCAGAATGGAAATTCAGAAGTGATTGATTGATAAGAACTTACACTGTCTTCTCTACCTAGTTTGCATCCAATTATTTGGTGCATCCAATCATCAACCCTCTGTACTCGTCCAATCATCCTACTCGTCTAATCATCGGTGGCGTAAACATCCTACCGTAATCATCGCGGGATCGTATTGGATTACCTGCAACAGCCCCTCTCAATGCGAACACGCTTGAACGCCAAGAGCCGTCGTTAAGTCCTTGTGACGAGGTCCGCCGAGTCCCTTGGTCAAGATGTCAGCCAGCATGGTCGTAGTCTCGCAGTACTCGACGATCACTTCACCGCGCTTGACTTCATCACGGATGTGGTGGTACTTGATGTCGATGTGCTTGGCGCGGCCATGGTTCACGGGGTTCTTCGTCATCTTGATGCACGACTGGTTATCTTCGAAAATCTTGAGATCCGGGGTGTCTTTGCCTGCAGCGTCGAGGATCTCACACAGAAGCTTGTGCACCCACTTGCCTTCTTGGATTGCCAGACTCAGTGCGATGTACTCGGCTTCACTCGTGGAGAGAGAGACACTTGACTGCTTCTTGGATCCCCACGATACTGGTCCACCGAGAACTTGAAACAGGTAGCCCGAAGTCGACTTGCGGTCACTGTGGGTCACCAGCCCAGTCTGCACCCGAATAGCCACGAAAGTCGATTCCGTTGCCTGGTGAAAAATGGAGTCCGTGCGACTTGGTACCTTGAAGGTAACGGAAGATCCTCTTGACAGCGATCCCAGTGCTCGACTTGAGGGTTCTCCATGAATCGTGAAACATATCCAACAGCAAAAGCAATGTCCGGGCGAGTCGACGTCATCAAGTGCATGAGAGCACCCACAGCTTCACGGAACGGCGCATCCAACTTGGTCGAGGCGTCACTGGCAACGAGCTTCATGCTGAGGTCGACTGGACTGGCAGCAGGTTTGCAGCTCTGCATGCCAAAGCGCTCCAGGATGTCGTTGATGCAGCGAGCTTGGGGCAACGTGACACTGCCGTCTGCGTTGTCGACCACTTCGATGCCCCGAATGAAGGAACACTTGCCGCTGTCGGTCATCTCGAATCGTGCCTTGAGCTGCTTCTTCACTTCGGAGATCATCATCGAAGAGCTTCCGGTCACCAACACATCGTCGACGTACACCAGTATCAGAACGCAGTCACCGTCGACAACCTTGATGTAGAGGCACGGATCGTAGCTCGAAACGCAAAATCCGATGGAGCGCACATACTCGTCGAAGGTCTCGTTCCATACTCGAGAAGCTTGCTTGAGACCGTAGATCCTTGTGTGGTAAAGTGCTTTCTCAGAAATAAGAGAATGGGCCTGACGCGGGGTCACTATCCCGAATCAATGACAATTTCAAGTGATTAGAGAGGATTTGGGTTGGCTGGCACGGATGCAAGTTGCCGGTGGTGGATTAGCCATGGCGAGCAGCACCCCGTATGAAATGACGATGGATCTGGTATGAGCGATGTACGAGAAGGCAAGATCCACCAAGACTTATCTCGGATCCACCCTTACCTGGATCCACTTGGGTGGATATGGGATACGCTATGTACGGGTGGATCGAGTGTGGATCCTATGAAGGAATGGTGGTAGGTGCCCTCTGAAGGTGGATCTAGTAGCCACGACTAATGAGGAGTCAAGATCCACCGCGATGTACCCCGGATCCCATACTTCCGAGTTCGGATCCAAGGAGGGAGGATCCCGCCTGGAGGGACCTGGATCCAGGGTATAGGGATGATGGATGTGTGGTAAAGTGCTTTCTCAGAAATAAGAGAATGGGCCTGACGCGGGGTCACTATCCCGAATCAATGACAATTTCAAGTGATTAGAGAGGATTTGGGTTGGCTGGCACGGATGCAAGTTGCCGGTGGTGGATTAGCCATGACGAGCAGCGCCCCGTATGAAGTGACGATGGATCTGGTATGAGCGATGTACGAGAAGGCAAGATCCACCAAGACTTACCTCGGATCCACCTTTACTTGGATTCACCTAAATGGATATGGGATATACTATACAAGAGTGGATCGGGTGTGGATCCTATGAAGGAAGGATGGTAGGTGCCCTCGGAAGGTGGATCTAGTAGTCACGGCTAACGAGGAGTCAAGATCCACCGCGAGGTGACCCGGATCCTATGCTTTCGAGTTAGGATCCAAGGAGGGAGGATCCCGCCTTAAGGGACCTGGATCCAGGGTATAGGTATGATGGATGCAGTGGATCTAGAACTTTCGTGGGACAGTGGAGATCACAGACGGTTGCGAGATGATGTTGGATGAGTGGAGAGCTCAGATCCACGACGAGTGTACACTTTCAAGTGAAGTGGATCCAAGCGACCTGGATCCTGATGAGTGTACCCATAATAGGGTAACCATAATGATTACGCCATGGATCCGGTGGATCTGAAGATAATACAGCTGGGATGATGGGTCAAGGGAAGAAGGGACATGCAGCCGAGCCTGGTAAGGGATTTAGCAGATGAAAGACATAGAAGGTAGAAACCCAGGCAGGTATAGGCTTAAATATCAATACAGACCTCAATTTGCACAGTATCACGCAAGTGCCTTCCTGCCCTCAAGAACCGGAACTACATTGGCCGTACGAGCTCCGAGAATGTTGGGAATTGCGAATCTAGTGTTGGTAGTGATAACTGGATAATACATTGGCCAGATCCTACAACCTAGTGAGCTTTTCCTTTACTCGTGCAGATCCGACAGGTTAACCGAATTTACTACTTGGTCGGTTACACCCTAGAGGTTCTCAACTCTCAAGATCCCGTCACAGGAGGCGGCAAGTACGACTTAAAGGACAACACAAGGCAAGGGAACACACCCGCAAGGCAACCCTACGGCTAGATCCACGATCTAGTCCCCGAATCACATAAGCTCGAATATTCGCCTTAGGATACGAAACATCCACGGACGCAGAGTGAAGATTTTCCACTGCTGCTCACATCCCATCCCCACGTCTCGCCAAGACACTCAAGCTTCACCACTTGAACTCTTCGGAAGTTACCGAGAGAGGCAGATCCCGCCCTACCGACGGGTACACAAGGTGAGGAAAGTTCAGCAGAACACGGATCATCGGGGGACCCCCTCCGTTAGTCGGTGTCTGGGCGCAGTTGGTAAGTTGGATCTGGCAATCTCGCAGATTTTGCTGATCCCGCTACACCACACTGATCCCGCTACAACACAGATCCCCCGGATCTGTCTTGATCCCCGCTCCCCCTAACTCGTCATTGCCAAGGATGCTCCCCGTGGACCCGTTCGGTCCGGATGCCGCCTTCATTCCTGGTCGGCGTGCTCCTGTGGCCTTCGCCACCAGAGACATCGAGCCTAAGAAGTTGAACCGGGTCGCTATTATTTCAATGAAGATGTCTTATCACAACAGGTCGACGCGCTGCAGTCTATCACGCCAAGCTCGCAGTAGTTGAAGCTGTAGCTGTCACACGCGCTGGGAACCGAGACCAACGAGAAGTTCGCGCTTGAGCATCGTCCTTGACGAGACACAGACGCCAGCTCTGTAGCATAGTCACTTGTAGTCATAAAACTTGCCACGTCGATCTCAGGAAGTGACACGAGAATGATCAGAAAGAGCAGAGGGATACACACTGCATTCAACAAGTTCTTCTTGTCCCTCTTCGCGATACGCACACGCTTGGTCAACAGCGCTCTGTACTGGCTCCAGAACATCGCACGGTTCGTCGATTCAGTCGAGATAGGCGTCCAACTCGGACCTGTCAAGGTCCCACGAGAGTTCGCAGACGTCGCCGACGTCTTGCGAATTTGATCCACTGTTTCAACGCCACAGACAGCTACGCCCATAGCCGCTTCTTCTTCGCGATCTTGAGAGATGCGTAAGAAGACTTCTTCTAATGTAGTGACAGATATTCCATACTGAACCACACGCAGGTTGCTCTTCTCATCATCAAGCACTTGCAGCATGGTCGAGAACACTCCGGAAGACTTGGACGGGAGCTGGAATACAACCTCCGAGCCAAAGTTGCTCAAGCACTTCGCTTCAGGCACAAAGTTGCGCAAGAACGCGCCCACCGCTTCCACGTCACATCCAGGTGCTTTGATCATAGTCAAGTTGTACCCAGTACGAAGATGTCGTCGAAGTAACTCGGTGCGAAATCGCGGAGCGGGCGCAACACATGGGATACCATGCGATTGAACGTGGCGATAGCATTCTTAAAGCCTTGTGGCATAACAAACCACTCCCAGAGCATACCACTGGAAGTGCTTACCGCTGTGAGCAGTATATATCGCTCAGCCTCATGAGGATTTGGCAGAACCCATCGGTCAAGTCGATGGCGCTGAAGACCTCACTACCCGACGTTGCGTCGAGCACCATGTCCTTCCGAGGAATCGGCGTCTGGGCAGGGATGGTAGCGTCGCTCGGCTTGTTGAAGGCATGGACGATGC